ATCATTTAAAGCTAAAAACTATTATTTTTTATAAAATATAGATAGTAATCTATACTTAAGTCTGCATTCTTAATATATTTTAAAATCAATTAGATGTTATAAAAATTATGGATAAAATATACATATAAATGTTACTTAAATTATAGATTCTTCATTGAATAGAAATATAAAAATGTTAAACTTAATTCAAATCACTTTTTTATTGAATTCTCTACTCTATTACAAGTTTCATTAATTAACCTAATAATTGTTCTCTCTGTTTCTTCTCTTTATTATTTTTCTTCAGCTAATTACAATGATAAAATATTTGTTATTTCTTGAATCATCATTTACATCTGATTCTATGATTCTTACCTTTATTATTTCTCCATATTTATTGTTTCTTAAACTGATAGTACTTATTCTCCTATTCTACCTATAATATTCTAACAATACACATCTCTTTAAATATATAAGTTCCTTACCTTTCTCTTCTTTCATTATCAACATTCTCTCTTAATTCATCTATTTTATTTTTAATATCATTTGAGTACTATATCTCAGTTTCTTATCTGTATTATCTTTATCTTAATAATTGCATTTTTATTTTATGTGATTATTCATCAATCTACTTAGTAATTTTTACTTAATTATCTGTTCTCTTTATTTTGTCTTTCATTAATTCATTTTTAACATGTGATTCTAATTATTTTAAATCTTTCTTTCTAAAATTATCATTATTATTCTATCAATAAATTTTATTTAAATACATTTCTAATATTTTATTCATTTGTCAACATCTCACCTATCTTATTCAACTGATTTTATAATGATGTAATTCTCTGAATATCATTTTTATAAGCATTCTAAAACTTTTCATCAATCTAATTTATTTTTTCTTCATAAACTTCTTTTTTCAAAGAATACTAATCATTTATTTACAATTATGAATGCCTAAATCTAATCTCTTCTATATATGACCTAATACTAGAACCTATATAATTTTACAAGTTTATTTACTTTAACTTCCATAAATTTAAGAAACTAATTATGAAGAGTTTGTATTTTTGGTTGTATTAGGTGATAAATAAATTTTACTATTTAACATAAAAATAAATTAAAAACAAACTAAAAAAAATAAATGTAAATAATAAACTTAACTAAACTTAGAAAATTATAAATATCTAATGTTTTATCGAGATGAATGAAAACTTTTATATAATATAATTAAATTTATGATTAGATTTGATATTAATAAATAATTTAAAAAATATATTTTACAATTATAAAATAAAAAAACAAAAAAAAGTCATTTATTTTTATTGTTTATAATCATTCAAAACTATAAATTATTAATAAATAGAAGATTAAAATGTAAAAAATTAATTGAATCAAATTTTATTATAAAATTGTTGGATACATTTAATAAAAATAATGGAAATGATTTTTCATTTATTATTTTTGTTTCAAATATAACTTAAATTTAAGAAATAAATACAAGATTGGATTAATTATAGTAGATTTAGAAATTCTTTCCTCTTTATTAAGAATAATAAGATACTGAATTTAATTTAATAAATACATATATATATATAAATGATGCAATGATACAAGCTTATTAGATATATGAATGGATAATAAATATAAATACGATGACTTAATATATATAAAAATATCATCTTCCTAAGCTTTTAATAACTTCGCTTGTAAATTGATCTGTTGTGGCATTTCCACCAATGTCTTTAGTTTTAATCTAAAACATTAAATATAAATGGTTACATTTTTATCTTAAATAGTATGTTAAACAGCTCTACAAATTTAATCAGCAAAGTTTGGTAAACCTAGATGTCTTAATAAAAGAGTGGAAGAAACAAGCATAGCAGAAGGATTCACAACATTTTTGCCTAGAATATATACTTTTATTACCTGCTATATCTCTTCCTGTATGTCTACAACCTTAAGAAAAGAGAGCATGATCTTTACCAATTGATGCTCCTGCAGCCATACCTACTCCTCCAGTAATTCCAGCTACAACATTTTATACAATTGATCCATAAAGATTTGGCATAACCATTACATCAAATTGTGTAGGATTTTTGACCAATTACATACAACAATTATCAATGATCATTTCTTCATATTTAATAAATGAATATCTTTATGCCACTTCTCTACAGGCTTATAAGAATAGTCCATCAACAAGTTTCATAATATTAGCTTTATGAACAGCTGTGACCTTCTTTCTACCACTAAGATGAGCAAATTCAAATGCATATTCAGCAATTCTTAATGATGCTTATTTTGTAGTTACTTTGATTGATTCTACAACTCCTGGATAGACTTCATGTTCTACACCAGAGTATTCACCTGAGAAATATATAATTATGATATTTACCTTCAGTATTTTCTCTAATCACAACTATGTCTGTATTATGATGTCTTTATGTTATTCCTTCAAAAGAGAAAGCAAAAGTAATATTGGCATATAAGTCTAAATATTTATAGAATTTGTAATTGTCTGTATATTTTTAATTCTTTTCAGTCATTACACCTAATAGAATGCATTCATTTTTTCTTAATTGTTTTTTTGAATCATCATTCTCAAAATTGAAATTGTCTAACACATCAAATTTGATTGGAACATGTAATGCTTCAAATACAGTTCTTACACTATCTAAAATTTGCTATATTTTAATACTTGTTATTTCAGGTCCAATTCCTACTCCAGGTATTAATGTAACATTTTTTAATGCTCCTTCTCCAGGCCTTTATAAATAATTTTAAGACCATGCACCTCTAAGTTAAAGATTTTAACGAAAAGCTGATCTAATGCAATTTCTCATAAATAAATTTTTATAAAATATATATTTATGTTATGATTATGTATATAAGAACCCCCATATCATAGAATAATTCATATTATTATTATAAATTATTATTATATAATTTTATTATTTATGTCATAATATAATATATATTATAACTCTATTAGTTAATCATTTTGTTTCATTTATCTCTAGCCATGCAAGTAAATAAACTGGCAATCTTTTAAAACACAGTTCTATCTGTATTATTATTTTTTTATTAAGAAACAATTTATTATGGATGATAACTCGCTTAGGTTTCATCAGAATACGAATTTGAAGACTCTTCTACTTTTGTCTTATTTTGATCATCTCTTATTAGAAATGGATGTAAGAATATTTGATTTAAAGAAATCCTCTCATTAGGATTTGGATTTAACATTTTCAATATTAAATCTTTTGCATATGTATCCTCAATTGTAAATTTTGGTTCTGTGAATATTAAAATTTATTCTATCATTTCTGCTTCAGTACCTACCTTATCTATATTCTATACCTGTTATTATTGGTTTTTTTTCAAGCATCCAATAAAGCAAACATCCCAAACTCCAGATATCTACAGAATAAGTTTAAGGATAGTTCCTTAAAATTTCTGGAGCCATAAATTCATATGTTCCACTAAAATTGCTAATGATATCTATATGTGTTGCCAAACCAAAATCACATAATTTTACATTTTTTTTTTGGTCTATCAACACATTACTTGGTTTAATGTCTCTATGAATGATGCCTTATGAATGTAGGTATTACAAAGCATTACATAATTGTAATATTACCTATTTTGGATCAATTTACAAATTTGTTGTCAAATGTCCATATTCTAAGTTTTTATTAATAAAATACTTGCATATTCCAATACTAAATATAAATTATCATCTTTCTCTAAAAATTATAATAATTAAATTATGTATTTATGCTTAAGTAGCTTATGAATTTTGAGTTCTCTATTCCCAATATATTTATTGATTTTTTTTATTGCAAAATTATATCCATTCAGTTATTTTAAATAAACTTATCCAAAACTTCCTGAACCTATCAAATCCATCTAATCATTCAATTAACTTAAAGAGATCTTTGGAACTAATTCAAATAAACCATTACAAACTAAATAATGGTATCCTTCCCTATCAAATTATCAATCATTATTATACCAATCAAAATCTCTACATTTGATTGAACAGTAAAATGCATTTGAACAGCTATCACAAGTGACTTGAGTTCCATTTAAAATTGAATTATAAGGTATATCCTTGCTGCATTTAGAATTTTAACAATTCATATGAAGTTTCAGAAAGGAAAATTTATTAACTAAAATAACAAATACATTATAAATGTATTATATATCATTCACTTATAATCATTATGCAAATATATTCATACTCTTCTCTTTTTCTAATTAATTCATTTCGATTCTCCTACATAAGAACTTAACTTTCTATATAATCATCGATCATCATTATTTTTTTTATTTCTTCAAACTATCCAAAAATCTATTCCTTTTTTTTAATGTCATTTGACATATCTATTTTGTTAAATTAAATTCAAGTATTCACTAACTATCTTTTAATTCATTGTTTAATTTATGCATCATCAACGCTTTTGTTTAAATATGATGAATTCGACACTTCCACATTAAAGAACATTAGTAATAATATAATAATGACATATACTAAAGTATGCTAATCAATAATCATTGAATAAACAGATTTGCAATATATTTTATTTCGGTTTATTTACAATTAATTTATTTTATGTATAATAAAAATTAACTTTTTTCATTCATTTCATTTTTAGAGAGTGAATAAAAGTTCTTTTTTTATTTTAAGATTTAGTGCAATTAAAATAACATGTATGCACTAATTATCATTAAAAAATCAAATTAAAAAATGGGTCAAATAAAAAGCATAATTAGATAAAGGTTTTTTAAATTATATAAGCTTAGAATGTATTTTTAATACTCATTTATTAATATGTTCTTTTTTGTCATTTATGAAAGCAAACCTTTATGTAATTTAATATTTAAATAAGATGATCATATTAAATAACAGTAAAATTTATAATTAGTTATTAAAAGAAAGATATTTTGAATTAATTTATTATTTATTTAGCTGTAAATTTATATTTATTATTTTTATTCAGATAAGTCTGAGTACTCAAATGAATTCATCTGTTGGAACAAAATTCAAAAATAATAAGGAATCTATGTCAAACATAACAAACAATAAATTAGTACATCATAACAATGTCTAATTAAAGAAATCTCATTACTATTCTTAAAGTCAATAAATTTTGGATTAACAAATAGATGAAAATCTTTTTTTTATTCCAAAATATACTTTAAGAAGGGTTAAAAATTCAGAATAAAATAGTAAAACTATATTCTATAATTCTTAGTTATGACAAATTACACAGTAGAAAAATCATTATAATCCTAGTTAATTAGTAAGTTTTTGAATGAGAATAGTATTCAACTTCATCAAATCAAACCTTTAAAATAAATTGACATCAAAGAATTAATATAATCATCTTCAAAGTCTAATAAAAAAATAAAAAAATAAGGAAATATTAACACAGAACCAAATTAAAATAAATAAACACTACCCTTAATGCCTTAGTTGAAATCATCTTAAATCATTGCTGATTTATATAAATTCACTTTTTATAGTCCTAAGACTTAAGAGAACAAACTTAGATTGCCTAAAGAATTCTAAATTCAACCTTGTAGTAAACAAAAATATTTTATATGAGTAAAGCTATGAATTTAAAAATAATATATATAATTTAATTATTTTATTGTAAAAATCATAAGAATTTAATGTCTGGCAAGAGAATTACATCTCCTTAAAATAAAAAATGTCATTCAAATAACAAAGGTCATGAAATTAAGACCATTTAAAAATTAGATTGTTTTACAAGTACTAATGGCAAAATAAATAAGGTATTCAAATCTAAGGGTTATTAGTTATTAGAACATTAAACATCAGTTAACTTATGCTACAGAATAAAGACAACTGAATTGTTTAACAAATAAAGCTTTGATATAGGATAGAGATTCTAATGATCGAAAATAAATAATTAATTAATTATTACAAGAGAACATTAAATTGAAAGAATAGAATGATAAGAAAAATAAATTAATAGAAATGTTGATTGATGAAAGAACAGATATTAAAAGAGTTACTAGTCTTCATATTCCTCATGAAAAAGATATTTAACAGTCAAAAACTAATTTTAGGCTTTAAAGTCCAAATCAAATGGAATTTACATTTTATAAAAGTCCTAGTAGAGGTTTACCTAAAGAATTCTAAATAACTCCATCTCGGAAAATGTTTTTTTGAGAAATAATAAATACTGATATTTTCATAAATTATTTGCTCTATAATTATGCAAATTCAATAAAATATCATCATAAACCATTATTTAAATATGTTAATAAGAATTAATGTATTTTAAACACTAGTAAAATCAGTAATTAAATTAAATTTGTTATAAAATTGATTCATATTAAAAATGCTTAATTTTTATAATATAATTTAATAATATAAAAATACTAATTCTAAATATTTTTAACTAAAAAATTAATTTCTCTAAAAATTAGACAAAATAATAAAATTTTCAAACTAATTTTTCAATGGACAAGGATTAAGAAACAAAAAAGTTACACCTTTAAACTTAATAATAAAATGTATAATGTAATTCTTCAACTGATGTAAAATTGGAAGAGATTGATTCATTTTGGAACTACAATCTTAAGTAGAGTGGTTTTGTTAATATAGAAGATTTATTCTAAATCTAAGTAGAGGACAATAGTACTTTGGAATAAATAGCTTCAAAACTAAAATTATTCTTAAAACCTCAAATTGAAAATGTAAAAGTTAATTTCATAATTAGTTTTTGAAAGTCAATCGTAGAAATGTTAAACTAATTAAATATCCAAAAGCTTAATGGAATCATAATTTAAGTATTTAGAAAAAGGTGGCTAAATAATTATAATATTCAGATTAATAGGCTGTATATTCAACTAATGAATAAGTTATTATTCACAATATTGCGCCATAAATAATACATCAATATACTAATTATTTAAAAATAGATCAAAACATAAAAGTAATTAGTATATATAAAATAGAGATAAGAAACTCAAGATCTAAATTTTAAGTACAATTTTACTTCAGATTTAAGAGAAAAATATAAAATTGATGTTCTTAAAGTAAATAAATAATTATGGAGATCATAAGAAGGAGTTAAAGAAATGATAATGCTTAATAAAAAATATGCTCTTAATCAAATGGATTTTAGTAAGATTATTATAATTAAATTCTAGTTTAAATTTATTCTTAATATTTATATTTAATTGAAAAAGAAAATATTTCAAAATTATCTTTAGAAGAAATATCTGAATACATCAAAAAATAAATAATTAAAAAGAATATAAATTTAGAAATAAATTTAAACTCATTAATTCAGATCTATTTATAATTATAAAATAATTAGTTTTCTGAAATAAAATAAACAATATTTTAAAAAATAAATCTTATTTAATAATTTGATTTAACATCAATTTAGAAATTATCTTTAAAATCATATAGAACTAATGAATATCTTTAAAAAGATTTAGCATTTATTTGTAATTCTTGTTCATTATTTAAAAATTAATGTAAATGTAAATTTACTAATAATTTGGCTTAAATAAAGAATTTTTTAGAATTTTGTTGTATTTTAAATTATAAACCAAACACAAAAAAACCATAATGGTGCTATGATGTTATAAAGGCTAATTCATAAAATTAATGTGGAATTAGATGTTATAAAAATACAAACAATTTTGAATTATTAAGGAAGAAACCTAATAATAATGAATTAAATGAAGAATTTTAACCAATTATAATTGATAGAGATCCATGTTTATTGGCTTAAATATATGAGTAGGATTGTATATCAATTTTTACATAAGCTAGATATAAATATAAAGAAATTAAAGAATAATATTTATAATCCATTAAATAGATATAAGAAAATCAAGATAAAGCAGCACTTATTAATTATCCATTTAATAATGCAAATTTATATATTCCTTGTTGTCATTAATAAGATTTCAAATGTGAAAATTGTAATTGTGATTAATTTTGTTCAAAATATTGTGATTGTCAACAAGATTGGTGTTCAAAAAAACTTAAAGGATGTGCTTGTAAAGATAGATGCTCTTTAGATAGTAAATGTTCATGTAGAAGAGATAATGTAGAATGTGATCCATTAGTATGTAAATGCTGTACTATTGATTCAAATTTAATATGTTCAAATACCTAGATTTTAATCAATAATGTTAAACCTACATTATTAGGAAGATCAGGAGTATGTAATGGATTAGGAGTATTTGCAAGAAATTACATAATGAAAGATGAATTAATAATTTTATATATTGGAGAAGTACTTATTGATGATGAAGATGAAATTAGAGATTAATTTGATGATACATTTACATTTTATAATTATTCTTTAAATGATGATAAATATTCATTAGAAAGTAGATTCTGTGGAAATGAAAGCAGATTTATTAATCATAATAGTTCAAATTTAATGAATTGTAAAACTAGATAAATATTTTCATCAGGTATTAAAATAATTTTTAATTTTAGGAAAATTTCAGTTAGCAATATTTGCTCTAAAAGATATATATCCAGAACAAGAGATACTTTTGAATTATAATGAAGGGGATTAAATTAATAGAGATCTTAATAATTGGGTTGATGTGAACACTTAATACTGGAATTATAAGTATACTACATTGATTGGAAAAAAATGATTTTTAATTTTTTGTGATAATTAAAAGTATATCATTAAAAAAAATTAAATCTTTTTTTCGATTCTTTTTTCATGACTCTGGACTAAAAGTGAGTTTTTCATAAGCAGATAAATATTTTCTTAGATGAGTTAGAGATTTGTTGGATATATAAAGTAATTAGAAATAATATATATTAATATATATTACTTAATATTTTTGAATTAAAAATTGAATTAGTTAAAGTAGACTCTAAGTGAAACTTTCCTATTTGAAATAATAGAGATCGACAATCAAATGTACAATTTCTTAATTTATTGTTTTTTATTCTAGCGTACTTTATTCTTTCATATTACAAAACTCAATAATTGTTTTTAAATTAGCTTTCTTTAAAACTAAACAATCATTATATTTATTTGGAACATAACCATAAAAAATATTTTTAGTTAGTAAATATACCATTTTTTTTGGATTTGTAAGTCCATCTTAGAAGATGAGTAGAGCAGCTTTATAATATTATTCTAAATTAAATATTACTACTGTTTATGATATTGATAATGAATTTAAGAGTCATCTATGCTAATTAGAAATTTTTATTAAGATATTCCATGTTTATTTTTTAATTGAACTCTCAATATAAATTTATAAATTCTTTGAATTTGAACATTGAAAACATATTTTTCTGTGGTTCCATACATCAAATGAATGTTTATTAGTAACTCTGTAGTACCCTGATTCTAAATATATATTTTAAACTTTATCATATTTAGAAATGAAATGTTTATATTCCATATTATGATAAGCTACATCACTTATCCAAATATCTTCCTAAATATGAATTTAATATATACCCAGGTCCAATTTATCCTTATTGCTTTTTCAAAATTCCATTTACCTAAAATATTTCGATTTACCAGAAATATATAGGGCCTATCCAAAATCAACTTTATAATGGATTTATAACTGTATCATTTTTACTATTTAATAATAATTTAAAGGATTTATTTATATTGGTTGATGCTCACAATAATGCAAAAATTTATATTAATAATTTTTTTATTAAAATGATATTATGTAAAATTAAATTAATGTAAATTTTTTATAATATCCTAAATCAAATTGTAATATCTGATTACTGATAAAAAAAAAACTTTATTTTTATTGTTTTAGCTAATATGATGTTTCACACTTATAGATAAATTATAAAATTGATTAAAATTAATTTTAATAGATGTAGATAATTTACATATGAATTATAGGATTGAGAATAGAATAATAAAGCATTTAAAATTTAAATATCTTTATAATGAGTTTAATTATTCATGATTGCTGAGATACTTTTACTTTCTTAAGATTGTTCTTAATTTATTATATTATTTCTAATAAACATATTTCCATTAATTTTTGTAAATAAGTATAAATCTATAACTTTGTTTATTTTTCAATTCTCGAACTTCTTTCTATAATTAATTCATTTAGGGAACTAGCACTTCTAAAAAACATCTGTAACCAGTATAATAGATCATCATTCACCTTATTTTTTTATTTTAAGTAATCTTTATAAACCAACATGAATTGTTCTTTCAACTCCTAAGATAGCTCTCCTATTTCTGCCTCAGGTGTATATCTATATAGGACAGTCATCTATAGATATTAATATGACACACTTTATCAATAGCAGCAACAGCATTTTTGAATAGAGCTGCCTTATATTTATGTTCTGGCTCTGAAATAAATATTTTGGGTCTAAACATTACGTATTATGTTATGAGCCCTCCTTTAAGAAGTAATATATTCCATTTTTTGATCAAAAAAGTCACCTATGATATTATTTAATACTCACCTTTTCTTCTAACTTATCAATATGATGAATTTATTCAAGAGATTCATTTAATGTTGGTTTGCAATCATTCAATCTATAAGGATTCATTTAACATTGATCTAAACACTATTAACATTTTTCTATAAATTTTTCAATATTCTTGCTAACTTTTCCCATTGAAGTTAGAAGTATGATTGTTTTTGTATAACACTCTACTTATTCAAAGTGAGAATTTGATTGACCACCCTTACTAAAAAGGACAATAGCGTTGCTTAGAGTTATGTTATTACATGTCTCTTCTTCTTATAATTCAATCAAGAATTGATCAAATTTTTAAATCATAAAATAATAATATATAACTTGGATTCATTATATCATTATTTGCATTATTGTTAATCTTCATTTATATATGTATTGTTTGGGTTTCTAATTTTATAAATGTATATATGATTGTATTTAAATATTCTAATTCAGAATATTTAAGAACAATTAATAAATTACATTTATATTCAAAATTTTTAATATAGGTTGTCTTTTATTAATTAATTCAATTCTGCATATAAAAAGCTTGAAAGAAATTCAGTCGAATAACATTTTCTCTATTTTAATTTAAAAATATGAAGTAGTTAAGTATTTATGAAATTTAAGAATAGATAATTGATAATTAATAGGGGTTGTATATAATTTACTAGTTTCTTTAATCATAATTAATAATATAAAAACTAATATGGATATTAGATTAAGACAATAATCAGCCATGACATATTAAGAATACTTAAATTATTATAATAAGGAGCCTGATGCTCCTAGAATTCAGTAATAATATATTTAAAAAAATAGTCCCAAGGAAAGTCCAGTAGAGCCTTTATCGGATTTAGAATTGAGTCCTATTTAGGAGAAATAGAGAAAAAAGCTTATTGTATAGAGTTGTAAAGTTATCAATATATATTCTAAACTATGATTATCAACTTTAAATAGTTAAATATGTTAAACTTAAAAAGAATTTATTTTAAGATATATAAAATATATTTGTGCATAATAATAAGAAATTTAAATTTATTTCTCAAACTTAAATGTTGGTAAAGTCAGCACTTTAGACAACTGATAAGGCTTATTCACTTATTCCTAATTCTCTTGTGAATTCATTCTTTAAGTTAGTATAAATATCGGTTTCCTCAGCATAGGTGTTATTTTCTAACTCAAGTTCTGCAATATATTGTTTTCTATCAGCTTCTCTTTAATCTCTAAATTCACTTAATTAATCGATTTTTTCTAATTTGATTAATTTTTATTTAATTACCATTTGTGGCTGTCAAGTCAACATTAACTCTATTGATTTGTCTTTAGAATTCTGCATATTCAGCATCTAATTATTCTAAATATTCTTCATGATCAGCTTAAGCATCAGCTTCAGCAGCTGTTTAAGCATTAATTGAATCAACAATAGCATTTCTGAATTCATTAAGTGCATCTACAATTTAACCAATAATTCCTTAATCTGAGAAGTTTTAATTAGAAGCTAAGGTGATAAGGGCTTTAATCATAGGTGCCATCTTAGATCTAGATTTAATTTTGGATTCAATATTTTTCAATGAATTTTAGAATCTCTTAATCTAGAGAAGTGATGGATTTGTAAGTGATGAAAGAAGGGCAAGAGCATCATCAACAGCAGCTGTAGCATCATTTAATTCTGCAACTTAAAACTCAAAATCTTCATGTTCTTATTCTCTAGTAAGTACTGCTTCATCATAATTTTTTCTATTGGCTTCCTAATTTTCTTGAATTTATTCAATTCTAACTTAAAGTTATTCTCTTCTTGGGAAAAGTAAGTTATCCAAGGTATCTTATGTATTATTAACATCTAAATTATTATTTAATTATGTTACCAATTACAGCATCTTAAATATCTTATTCATATCCAATAACTAATGAATTATGTTCATTTGTTCTTTATTAGAAGTTAAATTCTAATTCATCTAATTCTTCTTCAAGGTCATTAATAAGTTCTTCAATTGCATCAATCAATTCTTATACAGGTCCTCCAGCCATTGAATGAAGTTCAACTAAATGAAGGAGTGCATTTCCATAAGTGCTTTTTTTCAAATCAGTTGTGATTTTTGCCATATTCTTTTACTAAACTCTAGCAGTAAATGCTATAGTGATCAAAGCAATAAGCAACACTGTTTTCATTAAAAATAATTATGAAAAAAAATTGTATTAACAAAAACGACTAACATTTTTTTTTTAATTTATTATCAACTTAATCTTATTAAGAAATGATACTTTAAAAAAAAAATGAAATAAATCAATTAATAACTTACATATATAATAAGATAAACTAATTAAAATTTAAATATATATTAGTATACTAATATTATTGAATATATAATATATTTAAACTAATAAAATAATATTATTCTAAAATTTATTAACTTATAAATATAATATGTTGAATATCTAATTCATTTTTAATAAGTAATAATTTTATAAAAGTCTTCGAAATTCACCATATCATCTTTATCAAAGTCTGCACGTTTTAACATATCATTCAATTCATTTTCATCTATATTTTCACCAACTTCCCTACAAATTTATTTCAAAGATTCCAATTCTAAACAACCTTTTTCGTTTGGTTTAAGAAGATCAAATACTTCTTTTAAATTTTCTTTAGATTTAATATCTGATAATCGAACTGTCATAAGATCTAAAAATTCATCAAAATCTATTTTTCCATCCTTCTTATTTGTTTATGCAATCTCAATTAAATTATTTAATAATTATTCATCAGCTGCAAAACCCAATGATGCCATTACTGTTTTTAATTCTCTTGGATCTATTTCCCCACCACTTTAAATTTATTCAAAAATATTTACCCATCTTCATCAAATATATCAAAAGCTTCCTTAATTTCTTTAATTTCTTCCTCTGTGAATCCTGGTCTTTCATATGACTTTATATTAAATTTAATAGGTCCAGGAGCAAGAGCAACAAAAGATTTCTTTGGTTACATTAATTTATAAAATGAAATAAAGGCCTTTATTTCTTAATGTTGACTTGTCTCCTCAACCAAATAAAACACCAAACAAATCACCAATATAAAGAACAAAAACGCCATTAAAAGAAACTTAAAAATCGTAATCTAGATTCCATTCGCCAATTGATACTTAGCCTACCCGTTAAACATCAACAATCATCACTGTATTTATACAACGTTACTTTTTGGCAATAGGAACTAATTTCCAAGAGAAGTGGAGCAACTGGTAGATCTCAAACATAAACAGCTGTTGAATAAGAAATTCCAGTCAAATAAACTTCTGATTTCTAGACCATCTATCAACGTAGTTTAAAAGCTAACTATATTCCTAAAATAACACACATCAATGCTTAAACACCTCCAAAATAATAAAGTGTTCCTAGTCCAGCTACTCCTATAAACCATTAATTCATTTCATAGAATATAGAGAAAAATATACCTATTCATACTAATATTGTTAATAAATAGAAAGAAAAAGTTTAAATCTACATAAGAATAAAGCCAAATCTAACAAATGAAAAATCTGTAGTTAAGAAATTATCTAATTAACATTTAGCAGTCCATACATTTGAGGATACAAATAGATAATTTGAATTTGATACTATTCTAGATAATTCATCTTAAGAGGAAGTGTATAATTTAACTAGTAAGTAAATTGTATCAGATTGTATTGCTGGAAGAGCAAATGGAGTAGTAATAGTATATGGATAAACAGGATCTGGTAAGACTCATACTATGGGATTACTTGAATAATCAAAAGGAGTTATATAATTGGCTATGTCTGATATATTTTAATAGATTAAAGAGTAAAATGAAAATGGTAATAATTTTAAAATTGAAATGAGTTTTATACAGATATACATGGATAAAATATATGATCTATTAAACAATAATGGATAATAATTATAAATAAGAGAATCTAAAGATTCCATTCCTTATATATAAGGTGCTGTCTAAATTTCAATTGAAGATTAAAATGATGGAATATAATTAGTTTCTTTTGGGATTAAAAATAGAGTAGTAGCATCTCAAGTAATGAATGTCAATTCTTCAAGATCACATACACTTTTAACAATTTATATAAAAAAGTAGGTTTAAGATAAAGTTATATGTTCAAAAGTTGCTTTTATTGATTTAGCTGGTAGTGAAAGAAATAAAAAGTCATTATCTAAAGGTTTAAGACTTGATGAAGCAACCTATATAAATGAATCTTTATCAGCTTTAGGAAATGTAATTGCTGCTTTAGGATAACCTAATTAATAACATGTTCCTTATAGAGAATCAAAATTAACTAGAACTTTATAAGGTTATTTAACTGGAGAATCATAAATTTCTCTTATATGTACAATCACAAAATTAGCTGAAAGTACTAATGAAACTCTTTAAACATTGATGTTTGCCTAAAGGTGTAAGGATGTAGTTTTGAGACCATAAAAAATAATACCAATTTAAGATGAAGAAACTTTAGATAATGGTGATTTATTAAAATAGATAGCTGAATTAAAAGAAACTATAAAAGATCTTTAAGAATAATAATAAAAACAATAATCATAATAAAATTAATAATCAAAATAATAAGATAAAGATTTCTTAAAATTTCTTATCAATATTATACTAAAACTAAAATAATATACTTTTAGTAATTTATCTAGTTGTTAGCTTTAAGAAAAGTAGGCTTTAGCAGAAAAGTTTTTATAAGATAGTACATATTATTAAACTATTTAATTCCCAAAAGAAATTTAAGTAATGATGATGGAATAAATATAATCTTAAGAGATTGATTAATAAAAAGTTGAATAATGTTTAGAAGGTAATAAAGAATAAATTAAAGATCTTGCTAAGAGTTTTACTTAAGATATTCATTATTTAGTTTAAGCTTTTAAACAATATTCTGATATGCGTTATAATTATATTATTGAAAAAATACTTGAATAATATAGATAAAAAGAAATTTAAGTTTGGGCTAAAGGTTTAGCATATTTATTGATAACAATCAAATAACTTTTAAATTAATTATATGAAATTAAGTAATTTGATATTGCCTCTGATATTTATTTGGAAGGAATTAAACAATAGTTATATCATTTAATTAATGATAAAGGAACTATGTATAAATCTCCATAAAAGATTTGTGATTTAATTGAAAAATTTTATTGCTCTGAAACTGATTTTAGTTTCAATTAAATGAAAAAATTTTCAAGTAGTTTAAATATTCCATCATAAACAATGTCTGATAAATATAAATAGAAAATAGAAAAATTGATTGGCACTTATGGCTAAGGAATAAAAGTTGTAAAACCAACTGAACCTCCACCAATATATCATTCTCCATCTGTTAATGTTTCTACATTAATTCAAAGTCGTAAATTTTAATAAAATCCATTTAATGATATATCTTCTTTGACTGAATAATAAGCTGCTTCATCTGTTGAAGAATCAAATTTAAGAGAAGAAGTACATGTAATACCAAATAATGAAAGTCTACTTTAAGGAAAATTGAGATTCAAAGAGGATGAATTACTCATTTATTCCAGAAATTAGATGGCAGCACAGATGGCGGCAAGAAAAAAATAGTTAAAATGACTTATACTTTTTCCAAGCTAATTTAATAAACAAATAATTTAATATAATTTATAATTAGATAATCTTACTAATTTATAAAATAACATTAATAATATATTTTTATTTTATTTTACTATAAAATTATATTTATATGTATTGTCTGAACAAAGAGAAAAAAAGATAATTTAACTATTTCAATTTTAAAATATTGATAAAACACTTTATAATTAAAATGATTAATTCAGAGTATGAAAAATGATAACAAAATATATAAATTACATTCATTGTCTCTGATAAAATAATACATAGGAGTTCTACGATTTTAATAATTCATCATCTACTACTTTATTTGAGTATTCCGAAACTCTTTAATCATTAAAGTTATACCAACAGTCTTTCCCCTTTATCAAACTATGATTTTTTATTTAATTAATTTACCATGTATAATGTCCACTTTAGATACTGTATCCTTAATGATTGATAACTGCATATAATTTATACTAAGGAGATTAATCACAAAATCCTTTAAGAATAAGATTTTATTCTATCTCTATAGTATTATTAGATCTGGCTTGTCTTGAATCATATCTTTTTAGCTAAATTACTAAAACCATAGGAGTAGCACTCAAATTTGTTCTTCTTAATAAAGGACTTGTCTTTTGACATTTTTTACATTTTTCTTAAGAGTTTAATTATTCTGGTTTGAAATAGTCAGAAAGCAATTGACTAAGTCTACAAGATTACTATATGTAGATGGATAAATTAATAAATTGTTCAGTTTATTTGCTAGAGTTATTACAATTTTAGCAATTTATTTAATAAGTCAATTAACCAAAGAAAGGTTATGTAAGAAATGCTGTATTTACAAAATCCAAAAAAACATGGAAGAATTCAATGCAATCTTATTGATTAAAATTATCAAACTCTTTATGCTAGTTCATTAATTTTTTAAATTGAATTATGTCATTATGTTCAGGTTCTATTCCTGCTTGAATGCTAAACCATATTTTATAAAATTGTTTAAACAACTCAGTGCTGTTTTTATTGTCTTTATACTACTTCATAGCTGTACTAATGGCAGGAGTATTGAATAAACATTGTAACATTGAGTTTCTAGGATGCTTATTGTTCTTGCATACATGTAACAAGTATTGCCAATATTTTCAATTCCAATCCTTATCGGATCTACATCATATGTCTTTTAACTCATCTGCTCTTTATTTCTTGTAACAACGGCACTTCCATAAGCTTAATTACTTGTTCTATACATGTTTAAATTTAAATAAATTAATTAAAAGTTGTCTTTCTTCACAATAGGGAGTTTTTATTCAAATATTATTTTGATTTTTAACACAAACTCAAAATTGTATAAAAGTATTAAAGATTGAATTTATTAAATTATATTTTTTGTTTTATCCAAAAGATATATGAGTATATTAATAAAAAATTATAATTTTACAATAAATAAATAGAAATTAAATTAAAAAATATTTTTTATTGAGAAAATAGAAATCTATATTTATTAATAAATAATATTATGTATCAAAGTTAACGCATTCTGATATTAGTTCTTCTCTTTTCTATAGGTGAATTACTAGAATTAAGTGGGCTAATATCCTTATAAAATACAATAATACGGTAATTTATTTAATGATCCTCTTTTAGCCATTTGAGCCAGTTGCATAGAATTAGAATGTTATAACAATTTTGTTTGTGATTATCTTTATTAAGTAATTCGAAATGGAGATTATTTCTTAAATGGACTAGCAACATTTGTCTCAAAGAATAATTAACTAGTTGATCTGGCTTACTTTATCCTTGATGTAGATTTTCTTTGAGTAGCATCTTAATTCTGTTATCTAATAGTAATCTCTTATTAAGAGACTTATTCATTTAAGGGAATAATTAATCTAATAGCTTTAACAAATGAAGCACAATATTTAATAAATGAGAGAGCATTTATCAAACAGATTAACTTTTATTTATTTTAGAAAATAGCCATTCTATCATGTATTGTGATAGGTTATCCTAAATCTCCTTCTCCAGTAATCCAAGGATGCATAAGAGCCTGTTCAGCTGACATTCTAGCTTCAGGATTGATTGCAGCACATTTTTTGAAAAAGTTCTATGCTGACTTGTCCATGATAGTGAAGTTGACATTATATGATTATATGCTCTCTATAAGATTTTCATAATTAAAAGGATGTTTCCTCTCATATAATAGATATTATATAATTCCAATACTCCACATATCTACACTTTTTAGATATGGCATTTTTAATATCATTTCTGGAGCCATGAATAAAAGAGTCCCACATTTATCATATGAGATTTTAGATTCTGATTGTTAAGATAATCCAAAATCTATTAATCTGACTTTGCCATCAAGTCCAACCAAGATATTATCTAAATTTATAATCCATATTACCAGGCTTGATATCTCTATGAGTAATGTCTTTATTATGTAAATAAGTTAAAACAATAAGTAATTATTTGATTATACTTTTGATCATCTCTTCACTCAAATTAGATTTACTCAATTCTGTCAAATTTGAACCCTCTACATAATCCATTATGATATATAATTTATCAAATGTTTCATAACTCTTTGATTATAATTATAGAATATACCGCTATATACTTCACTAAATTAGGATGTTACAGTTGTTCTAGTATTTCTACTTCACGATTAAACAATTCACAATAACTGGGAACTGATTTATCCAACACCTAACTTACTTCTCCACACTTACCTTGATTGCAACTTACCTACTCTTGTAAGTGCCCAAGTAGACTTAACTAAATGCTCCATTCCCAATCTTTTGCAATATATTGAGCTCATTCATTATTTATATTTTAGGAAAATCTCTTATTTATTAATATAAATCATATACATATTAATAAATAGTCAAATTAGTAAATAGTATTTAAGAGTCATTTATACTATTATATATCCCATATATAAACAATCTACTTATTAAATAACTATTATATTTATATAAAATTAAATAATTCAATCAGGTTAACAAAATATAAAAACTAAAGTATTCAAAAATGCTTCCGCTTAAGTTTAGTAAGATGAATAAGGTATTATCTGAAATATTACTGTTTGATTTGGGAATATAATTATTTTCAGTAAAAATTCTATTTATGGACTACTTAATGTAAATGCTAAACCATATTCAGCACCAACCATTTCTTTATCCACTAAAATCTACAATATTAATTACATTCATTCATTTAAGTATCTTCTCCACCTAAAATTAAGACATTATTAGCTCCAAAACTTATAATTAAGTCATCTTTTGATTTAATTATTTATCTATTCAGAAGTAGTTACTCTGTCTTTAATATACTTTTTGATTTATACTCCCACCTTGCTTTAAAAGAATCTATGGTTGTATCTCTAAAATTCATAAATTTAGTTAATAAACAAGGTACAATGAAATGAGACATTTTTGCTTCATCTTCCATTTCATAACTAAATGTTCCTGAAATTATTTAATAAGGAACACGATTATAATTTAAACAAATTGGAACATATAACTATTTATTTGGATACAATATCATTCTTCCTTATTAATCCTTTTATACAATTTAACTTTGTTAATGAATTGGATCCTATGTCCATAAACCCATACAAGAGTCTCCTTCAAATGAAATTTAGAAATTTTATAATATTTATTATGTTTTATTTCCAAAACATAAACGAATTCTTAAATAATAACGATTTGTTATCTCATGATAAACTAAATTTGAATCAAATCCAATTTGTATTTCTGGAGATTCAAATATTGAATATCTTTTCCTTAAATTTGCTCTTTTTATTCTATTTAATCCTTTATGATTATAAATCTCTTCAAAAATAGAAAAATTTCTATCATCATAAGGAATAAATTAACCTTCATAACTTTTTGTTATCAATCCTAATTGTCCTTTCATATAAAAATCTTTCCCTGAAAACTATGAACTTTAACTTCTATTATCAAATTGATCTTCAAATTATCCTTTATTGGGACTTTAAAAATGCTCATGTGATTTATTTATAGGTAATTTTTTAAAAGAAGGAGGGACTGGGGCTGGTTGCAAATACCTTTCTGGTTGTTACTAAGGTTAATTCTAATATTTAGTTTATTGCTATTTTTATGGTTATGGTGCTCTACTATATTATTAGGTTTATTATAATGGAGGTTAATAAGTAGGTTGTTAGATCTATTTTTAAATTTCTGGTTCTTTCCTTATAGGATATTGTTAAGTTGGAGGTTATCTCTTTTCAGAATATTGAGGTGGTTTTGGAATCTATTACTATTAAAATCTTTAATCAGGTTATGTATTAACTTATTATTAAGGTTATTATTAAGTAGGTTTAGCATAATTTGCAGGTGGTTTTGGTTTTTCTGATCCAGTAATTTCTCTTGTTGCTAATAAGACTTCATAACGAAAATTCTAATAGTTTTCATTGGTAAATCCTAATTCACGCATATTTTTGTTAGCTTCAATTAAAGTTGTAATTATTTTTAATCTATAACCAACTTGCTTTCTTTAACCTTCACCTAATTAATTTTGTTTAGCCTACAATAAATCCAAATTAAGTTTTATTTTTTCAGCATCATTACAAGCATTTTCCATCACTAAAATAAATTAACAATTTACATTAATCCATAATCTCTGTTGCTTAATCTTCTCCTTTTAAATTCTATTCTAAACTCTCAACCAATTCATTAGTTTAAGTAAACATTTCTTGATACATTTTGTTCAATTCCTCTTTACTAAGATCATTCATATTGATTTTTTATTTTTATTATTCAGTTGGCATACTATAACTTTTTAATTTTTCCCTTTATTCTTCAGTTAATTCAAACAATTATAATTCAATTTTTTGTTTAAATCCTTAACTTTTCAAGAAGTCTCGCAAATATCGTTGGATTACCTTTCTAATCAGCAGCATATTTTGTTCCCCAATATGAAATGCATTCCTTCAAAATATCATAAAAACACTCACTAAAGGTTAGATCTATTTAATTTCAATCAATTCATGTACCCCTCATAAACCCCAAATATTTTTAATCCTCTCTATTTGTAAGGATTCTATTTATCACAAAATGCAAGTTCTTCAAAAATATCCAATAGATTCTTTACCTTAATGATACTGTTGATGAATAGTTATTTCTTACTCAATATAATATTCAGTCTGATTCTTTGATTAAAGATATTACTTTCATTGCAAAATATTTCTATTTTGATTGTCCTTTTAATGTGAATGAATCTTAAATTGTTTCCACTACTTGTTTAAAACTGCTTGCTTCATTCTCTCTCTTTAGCTTATCTGCTAAATTTTAAATAGCATTCTCTCTTAAAAAACTTTCCATTATTTCTTCATTTGTAACTATCATTATAAAATCAAATTATTAATAGAATTTTTAAGAGTTATGCAGATTGAAATTCTTAAATTAATCTATTTTAACTCATCCTCATAAAAATTATATTGATATATATATTAGCCTTTGTTATCAATGAAAAAGATGCATTAATATGACAATATCAAAATTGTTAAGAATTCAAAAAAAAATATTGGATTAAATTCCTTTAATTAATATTTATCTCTTATTGTAACATTTATACAAAAGATTTTTATAGAAGATAATTATAAAATATATAACTTTTGAGAGTTTATAGATCATATTTATATTGTTTTATTTTTAATCCACTCTCAGAAATTTTGTGTTTTTAATATAAAACTTTTTTCCTTTTTATTCAATTATTTTCTATTGATTTTATTAAAAAAATGTTAAAATTGTTATGTAAAGCTTAACTTTTTTTCCTATTAAATGAATAGACATCAATAGAGAAAATATTTCATTAATATTTAATTCATTTAATATTTTCTATTGTTATATTGAAAATAGTAGTTTTTGAATTAGATTTTAGTAAAATTACAAAGTTTTGTTAATGTTTAACAGATATTTACAAAGATAAAATTTTTGGAATATCATATAATTATTTAATTTAATATTTATGCCTATCGTATAAGGAAAAGCAAAATTATGGCATCCAACCTAAGAGGAATAAGTAATATTTTAATGAATATAAAAAGGATGCCTATGATGATAAAATGATTGCAAATATTGAATTAAAATCTTTGGATTTTGATGATGAAAACTTTTCACCAGTTTTTAATAGAAGCAAGAAAGAATTCTTTTTATAAGCAAGTGAAAGATATAAGAAGGATTTATCAAAAGTAATAATAATATTAGATAAAATTAGTTAGCTAGACCATTCTAATCATATACATGTGAAGAATTCATTAACAAATATATTTACATAAAACCAAATCATACTTATTGGAGAGAATGGACAGTGACAAAATGGTTGTCTGGATTTGGATTAGGATATTTAGTTTTGAGAGAAGTATATAATTATCATAATAATAAATTAGTTACCACTACGTAATTTTTATGCAAGAGTATTTGTTATGTGGATCTTCTTAGCTAAATTGAGTGATCATTTTTCATCTATTTTACCTTATCATGGTAAAATTGTAATATCTACTCAATCGGATAGATTTACAAAGTAATTGAGAATTAATATGAATATAGCAAAGATATTAATCAATATCATAATGTATGCAGTGCATTAAATTTCTTGGAAATGCCTACTTTTTAGAATAGAATATCAGAATCTCTTGCTTGGAGAGCAAAACAACCAGCTCACTTATTATATAATGATACAAATTGGTGTTTACATATTCTTAAGAAGTGGCATGGTCGTTCAACTCACATTGCACATTGGGTATTCTTTATATAAATATTTAAGGATGGAACATTCAATTAACCATTAGAAAGACTAGCTGACCCATATCATAAGGATGCTCACTTCATTCATTGGATTTGAGTAATTTTACATACAAATATATATATATATATAGACAATAGTTCAAAAATATTTATTAATTTTTTATGTTTCATATTTGCAGAATATCAAAATAGATAAATATAAATTATCTATTAAATATACATCACAATTCAATCGAATGTCTAATTATGAATATTTATAGTATTCAAATCCTAAAGTATGAGGATATAATTATATATCCTTTATTTTTTAATCTCTACTCATTTTCCAAAATAGTTAGCAATCAAAAGATAGAACATTAAATCAATAGTAGAATTATTTCACTAAAAACTATTATAATATTCATTTCATAAGGTTAAAAAGGAGATTTTTAATTAATTGCTAAAAACAGAATGAACTGCAATATTAAAATCAAAAAACTCACAATTAAAACACTTATTAGAAAACTATTTACTAACCTTAATTCCAAACAATCCATTCATTATATATTTATATTAAATTATTTTTATAATCTTAATAATAATGAGTGCAAGTGTAGCAGATAATGCTTCTGAAAGAGAAATGATTGAATTTTCAGAAGATGAACATTTGAGTTTCTTTTATAATATTGATCAAGTAAAATAATTGTCCAGATCTAGATATATACTGAATTACCAGGAGTTATATCTAATTATGGAACCTTTGCATAATCCTTATTGATTTGCAGATAATTAAGTAATTAGATTATTAGGAATTCAATTGCAGAAGCATAAGAAAATGTATATATAACATATATATATAAATTAGTTCATTTTAAGAAATATTCCTATTAATGCAATAAATGAAATATAGGCTCAAACTAATTTAATATTGAATAGTAATTTAAATGATGGAGGTATTGAAGTTGAAACATGTGAATTAGAAGAAGATTAGGAACCAGTAAAAAACAACAATTAATTTAGGATCCAATCTTTAGTGATAGATGGAGAAGAAATAGAGTTATAATGATGGCAGGTATTAATATAAACTAATTTTTATAAAAATAGATAATTAAGAAAAAATTGAAATTGATGACAAATTGAATAATGATAATAACAAATCTGTTTCTAAATCAAAATTATTTGATACTAGAAAAAATACTGTTAGACTTCCTACAACTCCACCTCCTCCTAATTAGTTTGGACCTAAATTAATCTAAATTTATTAAGAAGAATTTGAGGATGAATTTGAAGATAAACTTAGAAATGCTAAATTATATGAAATGAAGAAGAAGAATGAAATTGAATAAAAAAAGAAAGAAGATAAATTATAAAGTCAAGTAAAAGATATAAAAATAATACAATTAGATAGAAAAAAAGGATGGAGCTACTTAAAAATATACTTATGATTTTGATGGAAAGATCATATTAGCTAGAGCAATTAAAATGGATAAATTGTAGCCTACCAATTAAAAATTGAGAGTTGAATTAAAAGATTAAACAAAATAAGATTAATAACCAAATATTAAGAAGGGAGGAAGAAGGGATTCTACAAAAATTAACAAACCTATATGTCCAGAATAGGAAATACCTAATAGAGTATCTTATTAACATATAAGGTTATATAAGAACGAAGGGATGCTGCAAAAGAAGTTATTGGAGATAAAGCATTAAGAGTGGATAAGACTTCTTAATTTCCTTATGAAGTATTTACAATGAATAATGGAGTAAAATTATATTTTGAACAAAAAATGAAAGAAGGGGTAAGACATTAAATTAGTGATTCAGCTGAAAATTTATAAATAAAATTATCTGGTTCTAATTTACTATCTGGAGAAGATGCAGCATAATTTGCATCATAAATTAGATTAACTAAGGCTGAATACTAATTAATAACAGATGCTCAAACTTTACAATAAACTAGATAATAATTCATGCCATCTGAAAATATTAATATTCTTGATCATGATTAATAAGTTACTCAATAATCCATTTTATTAAAAAAAAATAAAGCAACTCTAAATAATAATAATCATCTCTCAGAATCTAAATAAGTCTAATTTAATGCTGGAAATTTATAGTAAAATCCATTCAAACGAGAAAGTCCAATATTACAATCTGCATAGACTGAAAGAATCTAACTTAAAAATGTTAAAATGATTGAAAATCTATTAGTAACTGGTGTTCCTGATACACCTAAATCATCAAAACCTGATTAACCACCCATATCCATACCTGATAATGCTTCTACGTATTATTCTTAAATTAATAAAGTAATCCTATCGATATCTTTAATTAATAATTATTAAATTAAAAGGAATAAGGTAAACAAGGTTAAATTAAAACATCATACTTTCCTCCTGTTAAATAATAGAAAAGATCATTAGAAACTAAAGCATACAAAGGTTCTTTAGAACAAATGTAAATTATAATAAAAAATATTAAAATAGGTACAAAATGCCAAGGGAGAGATTAGTTGCTTAAACTGGAAGAACTGCTATGAATTTTTATAAACAAAATTCAGATGGTAAATATAATTATTATATATATTTTAGGAACAAAGAAAATTGCAAAATCAATTAGTGATGGATTTATGCAAACATTTTATACCACTCATACAAAATTTAGTGAAAGACTTAGATAATGATTAATAGATTAATAATCTTAATATGAGCATTTAGATATCTAATATAACTAATTATTAAACTATTTCAGATAGTCAAATTAATTAACACATTGAAGAACTTTAACAGCAAGGATTGCGTCTTTGACGTTATATAACTAAATTTGAACTCATTTATAATTCTGAACTACTCCAATTTTCTGATTCCAACCTTTACAAATCTTTAGGTTTTATTGTTGTTGATTATAATGGAGCAGAATCATTACCTTTATAATAATTATGGTTAGATATTTAAAACTAAGAATCTGGAGACTTGAAAACATATTTTATATATTTTACATCTTCGATTATGTTGTTTAAAGAATCAGCTAATTCTATTAAATGACTCTCAGATAAGACTACTTCTTTTTCTTCATTATAAACTTAAAGAAAAATCTAACTACTTTGACTACTTTCAGGTCTATTTCTTTATACAATCAAATGTGATTTTGAGATATTTTCATCAGTATTACTTACAATTGTTTTTATTTCATCCTTTTTTTCAGTTTTCTCAGGAGATAGATCTTTAGGAGGCCTAAATTACAACTTATTGTTTTTACCAAAAGAAAGTTTAAATATCATTTTAAAAACCTAAAAATTTAGTTTCTAATTGATTTTATTCAATTTAATTTGTTAATTAAGAAAGATCCTTTTTTTAAAGAAAGATTATTTTATCTTATGATTCAGGTTTTAAGATTTAAATTAATCGATTGAACAAACAATTATAAATATCTTCAATAATATAAATTTTATGAATTCTCCCATAATAATTTTATTCACAACTCTTTACAAAATCCATCAATTCATTTGTTAAGTGATATTATAATTAAATTAAATTTCCCATATCTATTAAAATTATTGTTGATTCAACATAATAAGATATTAAAACATCTCTAATTAGCATATTGAATAAATAATCAAAACCCATTTTAAAATCTTAAAGTTTGTACTTTTTTAAATATCATAAAAATATTACTTTAAGTGCTTTAAATATGTTAATTATGATGACTGGTCTAAAACTCTTGTCATGTCCATGTATGTAAACAACCCCATTTAACTTTTAGATCAAATTAAAAAATATACAACAACATCATTCGGAGTATGTGATAAATTAATTTTGTTTCTCCAACTCAGATGTTGCTTTAAAACCTTTTTGATTAAATCTATATATAGTACTTCAATGGTATTGGCAATGTCATAATCACAATAGGCTAGGATTCTTAAGTAATCACTATCTTACCATCTATTCTAATATTATTTTATATACTATTTAGGTAATCTCAATGGTGTAAAGTTAACCAGGGCTTACTTTAAATTTTTTAACTACTCTTTTTCCTAAGGCTCCATTTCAATATTCTCAAATATTTTTCTCTCTATCTTTCCTGAAACTATAATCTTATCAGCTAAATATTTTTTTAAAGATACATACATCCAGGTTCAATTGGTTTTTCTTTTTTTAAATAGCCAATCATATTTTTATGTAAATTAATTAAGCTCTCCCAATACATTGTGCTTATTGTTTTGATGTGCTAATTGCATCTTTACAATAAAAAGATGTACCTAAGCCAACCTTTTAAGAATTTGATGTCCCAGTTTTTGTTACTTTTCATGCAAATAAAGAAGATTTGAGAGGGTGTATAGGAACTTTTTCCCCTGGACCTTTAGGTCAACAATTAGCAAAATATACTTTCCTTTCAGCTTTTAAGGATAGCAGGTTCCCTCCAATATAAACAAAAGAATTAAATTCACTAGATGTTGGAGTGAGTTTGTTGATCAACTTTTAGAAAGGAAAAAAATGGAATCAATGGGAAGTAGGAAAACATGGAATTATTATTGATTTCTAAGAGGGGGGCAGAGGTAAATACTATCTATATCTTTTTAGAATATGGAGCAACCTTTCTACCTGAAGTAGCAGCAGAATAAGAATGGGATATCAATACAACTTTGGAACATTTGATTGCAAAAGCAGGATACAGAAAGAATTACTAAAATGTTTTAGATAAGATTGATTTGACCACTTATGAAACATCTAAAGCTAAATTGACTTATGCTGAATATTTAGAATTGAAGAAATGATCAATATAATATAAATTATGAATAATGATTTCTATAATATATAATTCATCCCTAAATATATTGCAAAAGAATCATTTAAAAAGGAGCGAGAGATGTAAAAGCGTAAAATAAACATATATATATATTGTGATTCTTATAATAAAGGATAGTTTAAGGCTTGATCAAAAATAATCATTTTGAAAATCATTAATCTTACTCTTCAAACTTATAAATATTAGAAAAAATAAGAAGAGCCTTAAAAATTCTTTATTTATTATAAGGACTTTTATAATTAAAAAAAAAAAAGTTTGAATTTCTGATATTTTATTAATAAAATCATGGTTTTTTACGAGGGTTTCTTTTAGCTAAGGCTGCTTGTGTTTCATCCTTTTTTAATCTTAAGAATTTCTCCAATACTACTTTATCATCTAATTTCAATTATTCAAAATGACTTTAAACTTTTTATTCTAATGTTAATGTGCTAATTTAATCTAAGAATGGCTATTCTTTCTAATAATATGTCTAATTAGCTTAATAGCCAACAATTTTACTTGATATCTCTGTAATGATCCTTATGATAATTTTGATATATTAAAAAACATAGGTGTTTCTCGAATAGGTTATTATTATTCATTCATTTTTTATTTTATTTATTTAACTCAATATAACAAATCAAACAATTTCATAAATAAAACAAATAAAATTTGATCTACTTTATAAAAATACAAGCTGTTACTAATAGAGATCTTAAAATAAAATAAAAAAAACATAACCAATTATTTGAAACCATAAATTTATAAGAAAAATTCAAATTCAAATCTAGTTAATAATTCCCAGAATAATGGAAATGAAGTTTGAATTTATTTATATTAATTCTTTAAATTTAGATTATATAATGATTGCTTACTTAATATTATATAATTATTCTTCATATTTTATGCATTTTAATTAGGTGTTAATTATATTCAATATTACAAAGTATTTACAATAAAACATTGTAAATGATAACAAAGATATTAAAATAAAATACGATGATTATTTTATTTCAGAATTAAAGTCAAAAGGAATATAGATTGATTGATTTATTAGATTAAATACAAGTAGGTGGATGAGATATGTAGAAGTGAATTTATCATATAGAATCAAATTATGATGCATCCGCATGATTATTTAGCATCTTATAAAGGTTCTTCAACATTATATATTTTCCAGTTCTCTACTTCAAAAACTTTAGTCAATGATTATTATTTGTCTAACTCATCTATGAATACTATTCTATGTTTTTTTGATCCTTGAGCAATTATATTCTTAAATTTATCACATCTTTGAGATGTAGGGATATCTTTTTTGGAAGCTTTTAAAATACCAGATTTTTGGGTATCCATCAAATAATTAATATTAATATTGATCATATTTGTAATTAAATTAATCATCAGAATTATTAGTTCTCTTCTTAAACCTATGATTATTATTCTTAGACTGGTTGTTCTTAGGGTTAATTTACATTAATTTCTGCTGCTTCTTATTATTATTATTCTTACTATTATTATTATTATTATTATTATTATTATTATTATTATTATTATTCTTACTATTATTCTTATTCTTATTATTATTATTATTCTTATTCTTAAGCTTCTTAAGGCACTTCATTTCCTTTTTCTTATGGAACTTCTTTGGGTTATTATACTTCCTATTTCTATTATTCTTGTTTGGGAGGAATTTATGGTTGATTAATTCCTTAAAATGGAAATGATGATTATTATTATGGAACTTATTCCATTCTTTATTTCAATTCTTCATTACTCATAGGACCTTACATAATAAGTTATTCCATTATAGTTTAATATTTTGTATCAAGTTATTTCATCTTCATATTGAAACTGCTATTTGGTTATTGACTATAAACTTGGGTAGCATATTGTAAAATTTTGCTTCCTGGATCTTCAAATTTATTTAATCCATACTATTCTAAAATTTCTTTTCTAGTATAAATAATAGTTTTTACTTAGAACTATCCATTTTGAGGGATTGCATAATTTCCATCATTTTGGGACTTTAGAAGTTGATTTATTCGCCTCTTTCTTGTAATTCTAACAATTTTTCATTTAATTTTAAGGCACTTTCTGTCATGACCTTCTCTAGTATTTCAAAAGTTGTATCAGCAGTAAGAAAGGCTGGGATATCTGTTTTAGGATCTGGAGATTAACCAGAAAAGGATTTATCAAAAGATTCTTTCATTTGCTTTTATAATTCTTTGATAGTAGGATCATCACGATAAACATTTTGACAATAATGTTCAACTTACTATTTGGTCATTTTAAATTAATTATAGACCATCTCTTCAACTTATTCTATTTCTCCTCTAAACATGGCTATATTAGATATTGAAATCTTACGTTGTTCTAAGAGCATCATTTTAATATCTTCAGGTCTAGCTCTTCCCATGGATTATTGTTTTATATTAATAGCTACTGCAGCAAAATTTTGAAATACAGTGAAAAGCTCTTTCTTCAATTCTTTTAAGACTTTGATGATGGTTTCTCTATCAATATTTTGAGGTTCAATAGTTGACTTTCTATTTTATATTTAAAGCTGCCATACCCATCTGTTTTCTTCATAAATTTGAAAAATAGAACACTGGCTCCAGTTAAGACTGCTGCTCCTGTGATTAATGTGAATATATTCTTGTTATTTACTTTGCTCATTTCACCACAAATTTAATAATTAAATATTTTATTAAAATAAAGACTTATTGAGATGAGTAAATACTTAGTAGATACAATTAGATGAATAATTATAATAAAGATGAATAATAATATGAATGGATGAATATTAATATTAATAATAATAAATCATTCCATTTTTAATTCTGGGATATATTCATCAGGATTGATAGGCAATGGAACTGATCTCTTATATCCTTTGAGTAACTCTTTCAGTTTATCAATACGTTGTGTCAAATCTTCTACAATGTCTCTGGGCGAAAGATCTTCTTATTTGAGTAAATGATGCAATTTGACAATTAAAAATCCACCACAAGGAGATGTGATACAATCATGTAATCTATCCATGATGTCTACATCTTTTTGGGCTTATTCATATATTGAGTCAATACAACCATTGATAAGATTGGTAGCATAAATATCATCAACTCTTTCATCATCAAAATAACGTTTTGCTTTGATCCTATCAAGATATTTAAGTGTTTAATTAGGAACCACATCTTTCATGTAAAAAGATTCCATAAAATCTTTAGTTGTAGATTAATTATATAAGGCTTCAATGGTTTTTTCTGTAGTATATAATCTTAATTTAATTTTGTTTGGAAAATTCCTTCGTTCTGGTCTATCAATTTTAATAGAGTAAATGATTTCTGGCATAGCAATCTTATTTACATATATGTAATAAGCTGGTATTTTAGAACGTTATTTCCAGAAATTGATTTCTAAACTATATTTATATTCTCTATTTTATTTTCTCTTTTTTCTTTAATGAATATGTTCTGATTTAACTTTATAAAGATCGTTCTTTTATTATTCAAATATTTCAGGATCTCTCATACAATCCATCAATTTAATAAGAATTTAGTATGTTTCCTTTATGACATCATTACAAACTACTTTTTTCCTTTCCTTTTCATCCAATAATAATCTCAACTGTTCAATAAATTCAATTACACATGGATCTTATAAAATAACTTATACTCTCTCTTTCATAAAAGCAATGTATTCTAGTGTCATTTCCAACACAGCTTAAATTACTTTAGGTTGAGATAACATTTACAACCATTATCGTTCTACTAATTATTAGAGAATTTCCTCCAAAATAAAATCAAAAGTCTATTAACTTGTATTTTAATCAAGTTAATATTAGTAATTGATATCAATACCTAAATTCATCAAAACTTCTTCACTAACTAATTAACAATAGAACTTTTTGTTAGGTGTTATAGTTAAATCAACAACTTCATGAGAGGATTTTGGTTTCCTATTAATTTTCAAAGCATAAATTAATTCAGGAAGTGGAGTTTTTTATTATAAATAGAATGTCAATAATTGTCTACATCCTTATTTGAAATCAGTAGCTGCTCCTATTTATTTCTGTTTCTATTTGTGTTTATGCAATTGATAAGTTGAAATCTCAAGAAATGAATTACGGAATTTCCCTAAGAAAGTTCCATCATCCTTATCACTATAATCGTCATTCTCTAATGATTCAATATACATTAATTATATCAATCCTAAAATGACATTTCAACTTTAAGGTTTGACTAATAATAATCCTTCTAATTATTTTGATGAATAATATGAATTAAAAATTTTGTATGGAGTAATTTAGGACTAAATCAATTCGTTATAATCGATTACCAAATCTTACTAACAATCACTATTTAAAGTACACAGAGAGTATTAACTTAGTCTCTCTTAAGAATTAAGCGCATCAAGAACAAAAAAGAATTTAACTTAACAAAAACTAGTAAATAATTTTCACTATTCTAAATCAAGCAAGCTCTATCCAATAAAAAAGATGATTCAAATAATTATTACCATCATACTACAATTTATAATGTCAAATTAAGCAAAGAAACTAATAAAGTCTCTAAGTATTATTACCATTATTTAATCTATAGTAATCAAGAATTAAATTACTCTTAATATAATGAAATTTAAACTAAACTTATGGTTTCTGATTTCAAAAAGAAAGTTGATGCATTCCTCAAAAAAAACAATTACAAATCTAATTTGATTAGCAGTAAAATAACTACTTCATCAAAGGAATTACAACAATAAATAAAATATGAAGAATCATTAACCAAATCTTTAAGCTCTAATAAATATATTGTTTAAACTGAAAGTATATTTTTGAATTCATTCATTTTAGAAAAATCCATGAAAGCCTTAGAGATATTTATTCTAGGAACCAATAAAGTTGTTACTAAATAATTAATTTCAAGTGAACTTTTACAATAAAGATTATTGAAATAAAAGGAAACTTTTTTAAAAGATGACAGATTTAATTATGATTTGAAGTATCTATTATTTATTATTTAGAATGACAACTATGATAGAATAATATGCAGAAATAGTAAATAGAATTCAAGAAAAAGCATTTACTGTAAAAATACCAGATAATTATATCATTTAAATGAGTGATTACAATGAATATTATTAAATTAAAGAAGATTCAATGAATAACTTTCTTGAAAATAAACTAGAAATAATAGCTGATCAAATTATTCATGATATTTAATAGTCTAAAATAACTACTCCTAAAATTTTAAGCAATTAAACTAGTTAAATATATGAATCAATTGTACAATATCCAATTTACTAAATTGAACATAAGATCAATACTGAACCCACTATTGTTGATGAATAAGAAATATTATCAAAAGAATCAGATAATATAGAATAAATCATCCCTGATACTAAGATTTCAAATAAAAAGAGTAGATAAAAATAAAAGATTTAATAAAATAGAAATCAAATAAATTAATCAGAATAATCAAGTCTATCAGAAAACTTTAATTCCTCTATTATTAGTTCTAATATTAAAAATAATGATGATATCTTAAGAAAAAATAAAGAAATATCAAAAATTGAAGAAGAATAAGAATAAGAACTTAAATAGAAAGAAAAGAAATAATAAATTATTAAAAATCTCAAAGAATTCAACTAAAAATCAAACCTAATAAATATTTGAAGAAATAATCTGAAAAATTAATAATATCAATTGATGACCCAATTATACTTGTAGAACCAAAAGAAAAACTGCTTAAAAAATCAAGTCTAAGACTTTCAGATAATATTACTACTATGAATGAGATTAATGAGATTATTAGAAATAAAAAAATGTAGTTGTAAGTATATCAATAAATATTTTTTTAGACAGTAAGAACAGGCTAATGAGTAATAATTATAGAATAAGAATAATGGTTTATAAAAACCCTTACAATTGATTATTAATGGCAAACCATTTAGTGAATTAAAAGAAGCTGAATTATGGGATTCTAAAAGAAATTCCCCAAGGTCTTTCAAAAAAAAAAGATAGTAAAATATACCCAATTCAACTGTTTCAGAGTAGAGTTAATTTGGGTAAAAATAAGAAATTAACTTAAATGAGTAGTAGAACAATATTATAGAAGAATAATAGAACCAAATTGATTCTACAAAAAACTTTTAGGAAATTAAAGATGATAACGGCAATAATAATGATAATGATAAGAATAATGATAATAATGACAATAATAATAATAATGACAATAATAATAATAATAATGATACTAGTAGTGATTATCAATAAATTATTAATGAAAAAATAATAAGCATTGAAGAAAAAACAAAATAAGAATGTTAAGATATTTTTGATATTTTATTGGCCTAGGATTCTGTGTATGATCTAACAATTGATGATTATTAAATTGGGAAACCTCATTCTTATAAAGTCAATCATACAAATTTAATATTCCATCAGGAATAGGAAGTAACAGTCTTTATTCATTAGTAAATGTAATAATAAATTTAGGGTATTATGGAGGAGAGAAATACAATAGGTGATTCCTAAACTTAATTTTGTTAATAAATAGATGTCGGTTTAGATCAATTCAGAAGATGAGTATATTTAAGATAGTTAAGAGCATAATGTTGAAGAAGATGTTTATAATGTCCATGATGAAAATAAAGATTCATAAATCTGACAAACTGTTTCCTTATAATACCCTAATTATTTTTACTTTTAATGTTTATTAATATGATATAAAGGATGCTTAAAATATATGGAATATATTAATTATATGTACTGATCTATTAAAAATTTATGGATTATTTATTTAATCAAATTGGTCTTAATATTATATAAATATCAATCACTGTTACACAGTTTGAATTTCTTTTTGCCAACACATTGTCCACAGTTAGGACAATAATGAACTCTATCTTTTGTGCTCTTTAATACAAAAGGTAGAAACACAAGTGGCAAGAAGAATATAAATATGAAAAATGCAACAATCCAAGTTTATGGGCCTGCTCTATATTACATTAGAGTAGTTCCAGCTTTCTTACAATATTTACATTAAATTTAAATAGGAATTATGGATCCTTGAGCATCAAATGGAAGATTAGTTCCATTAGAATCTGTATTGTAAACAGGTGTAATAAGAAAACCTGTTGGTATTGGTATTCCTAATGATCTAAAGAATTTATTACCACTTTGGATGAAATGATTCTAAGTTGGTATTCCTATGAATACTTTTTCTGTATTTTCCTCATACCTCACATCTGCTAAATGTGGATAGGTTATTTTCTGTATTTCAGATTCATTTAGTTAAGAATGAGTTGAATGTGACATATAAAATAATGATTTAGTTTTTCAATAAAATATTCCACATATTTATATACATATTCTAAAATTTAAATCCTTTCTGAATTTCTTGATTTTATATTCTAATATAATATTTATTAATAATATATAATGAATTTCTATTTCTATATTTTTTATTATAGTTTTTTTATATCGTAATAGTAATGCTTTTTTGTAAGATTCTCAAATTAATAAAGGTGATGAAGAGTATTTTAAGAAAGATTTTATTTGTAATAAAACAGAATAATAACCTTGTATGGGATGCTTTCATTATTCATTTAATGAAGATATCAATTTGGCATATTCAATAGTTGGTAAGTAGTTCATTTAATTTATAGTTCACATAATATAAATTATTGTAGTTGGATTATCATCATTTGTTGGTTTAGGTGCAGAAATTCAAAAAACTTCTATATTGATGGCTTTATTACATTACAATGAATATGAAGCAACTAATATTACATAGTACCCAATTCAATAATATTAGTTATATTTCTATTGTTTCAAGCTTTATGTATCTAACATTTCTTTTATGTAAAAATGAAATAGGCCTTATTGATATTCATGCTGCTTAATTATTTTTCCCTTTTATAGTAATTTTTACAGACATTGGAAATTATTTCAATAGAGCTTTCTACGATTAAATAATAGTTTTAATAACAATTAGTTTAGAATATATATGGATTATATTATTAACATTAAAATTTGATAGATCAAGAAATCATGAAATTGAATCAAAAAGAAAAGAGATAACATTAGATGATAATCTTATTAACAACCCTAAAAAAACATAATCTTTTTTAAGTCTTAATCAACAACCAACCAATAAAAATAATTCCAAAAAGGCTCTTCTATATATTATACTTTTCTAAATGTTCTTACAAATCCTTCTTTTTATTTTAAGAGGAGGTAATAATCGTTAATTTATTCATTTCGAATATAGTGGTAGTTGGTATTGGTTTACAACAATAATTATTTATATTTTGGGATTATTATTTCTATATTATCTTTATTAAAAATAGGCAAATGATTATAGAAGACATATGGATGATGATCCCTATTTTTATGAAATAAGACCTTTAAATTAAAGTTAATTATTGATTTTGATTGCTTTGATTTCATTTTTTTTTAGTGGAACTGCAGGAGTTGGGGCTGGGTTGATATTAATCCCTAGTTGTATTTTAATCTAAAGATTTCGAATGAGTATTTTAAAGGCTATCAGAACAATGATTTTTGTGCAATTTCTAATTGATATATGTGTTATACCATAAACTATTTAAAGTAATGAGATTTAAGATAAATATAGATTATTAATCTGTGTAAATTAAAGATCAGTTATTTTACATGGCAATAGGATGTTCATCTTTCATTTTTGTCACTGTCTGGTTACACATATTATTTATAAGAGAATAACATTAACTTAAATTAATTATCATTATTATTGGATTATTTACTTTTGATTTTATTTTGGGAATCTATTAAGCATACACATTTAAGAGTCCAATTAGGGGAAATCCTTATTTCTCAATTTCTATTGATGATTGTTCTATAAATTGTTAATTTAATGAATGAGTAATAAATTCTTAAATAAAATTAACTATAAATTAAACTACTTAAGTTTGAAAAAATTCAATATGACTAATAAAAAGATTAATTTAATTAGACTTTCTTAACTTAACATATTTGCCATACTCCATTTATTAGATGTTAATTAATTAGCTTATTTAATAAATGGGATTTTAGGTTAAAAATTTTATGTATTTATTTTAAATTATTAATTAATCATATAATTTATATTTTTATTCAGATTAAATTGTTTTTTTCTTTCTTCCTTAAAAGTATTTGTATTTTAAAATACTATTATAAAACATTTAATTATTGCATATTCTTAAAATATCGACTATTTCAAAGTATCACTTATAAATTTAAAAAAATCTTCACATTTACCATTAACAATATATTTTTTAAAGTAATAATTCTTTTTGCTGGTACAACATAGGTCTATCAATTCTATAATTTCATAATTTTCCTCAATTATAAAGAAACTAAGTGGAGGGGATTCTAATTGTGTTTCACTTAGATTTCCTTAATTAATTTAGTTTTAGAATTGAGTAAAAAGTTATTTTCATCACCGCTAAGAAATAATTTTAATAGTTCATTTGTTGTCATAGCCAATTCTAAAGCGGACAGATTAATATCTACTTAGTTATTTCAAAATTAGCTATAATCTTTTAATTAGCTTTACATTCTCAATTTGAGTATTCTATCAATTTTTTAATTGTTTCTAATAAATTTCTTTTATCTAATGATCATTTCATTTTATTAATACTCTCCTTACATTTAAATATGCAATTTTTTATTCAATCATATCTTAACTCTTTTTATAATTCATTGTGTATTTATCTTGTGATGAGTTCCTATTTTGTATTATTCAATTGGTACTCCTGATATTTTATAATATTATAAAAAGTAAAAATAATTAAGGACAATTCTCCTGTTTATATTTGAAATATACTTGTCAAAGAAAAAAATAATAATCCAAAAAATAATCATGAATATATAAACACAAAGTGAAATTGAATTGAAACTTTCTGCCTTTGAGAAATTAGGGGACAATCCAACAGAAGTAGATATTAAATATGTGAGCTATTTACTCAAAATTCCATTATAAACTATACGTTAATGGTTAGAAGAAAGAGCTCAACTAGATTTTTTAATTGATTTATCAACAGCTGAAGATAAAGAATGTTCGATAATAGGATGTATTATGAAAAAGAAAAAATTAATAAATTAATAAAGTTCAGTTAAGGAAGAGGAAGCTTAATAGAAATAAACAAAAAATTAATCCATAAAATCATCAACTGATACAAAATAAAATCAAGATATAAAAAAAAAGAAATAAAATGATAAAATAAAATAGATTGATCCAAATAAATAAGCTTAAAAGTCTTTAAAAAAATAAGCAAAATTAGCTGCTAAATAAGCCTAATAATTTTTATATGAGGACTCTAAAACTCAAGAAAAAAACATATTGGATAATTAAAAATCAAAACATCCATTTTCTATACAAACTTAAAAATTAGTATAATAAATAGATATTACAAATAAAATTAATAATATTGTATAAAATATAGATAACTATAATCAATAATAATAATAAATAAGAAAATAAAAAAAATAATACAATTTACTAAGTTAAAAAAAGAATTTAATTCGTTTAGATAAAGAAAAAAACTACAAAGAATTATAATTATAAATAGAATAATGTAAAGGATAATAAAGATAATGCTTAATTGTTATTGATGATGAGATTAATTAGAAAAATTAATTATCTACTAATCAAAATAATGAAAGGATTCAATCTAATTATTATAAAACATTAAATCAAAATAAATTACATTGTAATGATAAACTATAACTTTTGAAGGATCTATCTTATTTTTAAGACAAAAAGATAAAGAAACCTATTTAATAAAAATTATAATAAATTTAATTTGGATAAAATAAACATTCAGAAAATAATTTAATCAAACAAAATGAGTAGAAATAAAATATAATATAAATATATCATTAAAAGCACAATTAATAATCATAAGCAATTCAAAATATAAACTAAGCATAAATGTAAAATGTTTATTTATAACATAACCAATAATAACCAAAATTAAAATAATAAATTGAAAAGAAATCATTTAATAATTAAAATCTGAATTAACAATCTTAAAGGTAATAATCAAATTTACCACAATAGCATATATAATAATAAACAAATTATCTGGCTTAAAATTGTAATTCTTAATAAATACCAACCTAATCAAATCTAACTGATTAACCAAATAAATCTTCACCAATTTAAACAACACCAACAAAATTTTAGAATCAAGAATCTTAGTTATAGAAATAACCTTAGATTGGATCTGAATTAAATCTTATATAAACTTAATTTAACCAGGCCATACAAGGACCTATCACATAAAGCAACTTGGATAAGAAATTATAATTGCCCAATTATTTATTAGAATTGATTCAGATGTTCAATAAAAATACTTAAGCTTTAGGAAAAGCAGTTGAATAAATTACAGCAGTTAGTAATTAACAAATGGCTTTAATGGAAAAACTTGATATAATTTATGAATGTGTTAATACAAAGTGATATTATTATATCTTAATATATATATAAAATGAATGTATTTGGATATGAGAGATAAACATTTAGGTAAAATTGATGATAATAGCTAAAAATTTATTTTTCTTTAATAGACCAAAATCTTATAATTAAAATTAAGGAGTAAAATTAGACTTAAAAGATATATAATGAATAAAAACTTAAAAAATGATTAAAATATAGATGCTAAAGAATTAATAATGAAAAAATAAAATATATAAAGATATTTTTTGAAATCATTGATGGAGAAAATCCATATGATTCTATAGTAGAGGATATTTAAGTTTTACAATTGAATTTGAACTTAATGAAATATTATAATAATATATTTATATAAAAAAATGAAAGGAAGAACTGGAGGTTTGACAGCTAAAATGAACAATGTAAAAATAATGTTTAATAATTTCATTAGTAAAATTAAAATAGAAGATAATAAGAGAATGATCAATTAGTAAGGAAAGCTGATTAAAATAAAATATCATTAGCTGAAATTTTCATGGCCAATTCTTAATAATTAGGAGGATTGGAAGATGGAAAAGTATTATCTGGAAATATATGATAGGTGACTAAAATGTATTTTCACAAATTTTTATTTATGGAATAAGTTTGTTTTGCATTCAATTTAATGGGATTAGGAATTAGTGTTATATAATATGACTTAGAATATGAAGAATTTTATAATGATGATCCAATGAAAGATGTAATATAAAGGATAATTTTAGATTTCCTTATGGCTATTATGGTTAGTATTTGTATCATCATGTCTATTGGTTTTTTTAACAGTTTATCGTTATTAAGCTCATATTGAATGGATGAAATCAAGAAAATCGATGGCTCCAGGAGATTAAATTTGGCATACTGATGATTGGCTACCGATGCTCATAGAATTAGCAGTTTATTGTATTATTCCTCTTCCATTTACTAAAGGAATTAGAGTTAACTTTTATAATTCAATTTAAGGGAGTGAAGCATATTATCATGTTAATGAGATCTTATCTTTAATTATGATTTGCAGAGTCATTTACTTATACAGAACTCTATTAACTCTTACTTTCTGGTATAATAATAGAACCCAAAGAGTATGTAATTTATATGCTTGTGAATCTAATTATATGTTTGTGGCCAAATCTTTATTAAGAACAATGCCATATACTGCCTTATTTATAGCTTTGATATCATTAATCTGTATTTTTGGATATGCTGTAAGAATTTGTGAAAGACCACTCTCAAGAAATGATCCCACAAGCAATAATTTAGGAGTGTTTTAAAATGCTCTATGGAATATCATTATTACTATAACTACTGTAGGTTATGGTGATTTCTATACTAGAACTGATTTAGGCAGATTTGTCATCTTTATAGTGTGTGTTCTTGGTATCTTTGTAGTTTCAGTTATGGTGGTTACTTTAATTGAATCTCTAAAGGTTACTTCATTAGAAGGTCATGCAATTACAGTTTTAGAAAGAGTTGCTTTGAGAGAAAAACTTAAACATGAAGCTGCTTTAGTTATTATACTTACTGCCAAAGCTGCTCTTGGTTATAAGTAAATATAAATTCAAATATTATTTTAGAAATGGAACTTTAACTAGAAAATAACATCATTAATTAATAGTTAGATTAAAATAAACCTTAATTAATTTTAAAATGACTCATAGATAACATAAAACTAAATAAGATGAGAATAGTTTGAATGAAGAAATCACTAATTAATTCAGTCTCTTAAAAAATGACTTTAAATAATTAATGGAAAGATAATAAGTATTGATTTCAACTAATAATTTGATCTATTAGAAACTAGGATTTGATAATAACAAATCAATTGTCAATATTTGACACTTTATACATATGAATTTAGCAATTTAATGTATGATAATTTTATTTGTATTTCATGATCAATGGATGTTCTTGCTCTTGCCAGCCTTTCTTTTAGCCAATCTTGTTTCAAGACTCTTATTCTTTTTGATGGATGGATCATTCTTAATAGCAAATCTTCTATTTTTTGCGAATCTTTAATTGCACTTTATTTTATAGGATTAATTACTCCATTCAATGATGTATATCTTTGATTTGGAAGCTTCTTAATACCATTTCTGTGATGCTTACGGGCATTATGATGACTTGTTGCATTCTTAGACTTGGCCATTAATGATTAATTATTTAAAATATTTATTTAGATTTTTCAATATTTTTAAATTCCTTAATTTTTTATACAAACCTATTATTCCATCTACAAAGCATCTTTTTGTATTGCTTCTTTATGTATCATACTTCTCTCCAATTCCTTAAATAAACTCCAAATTCTCTATTGTTAGAAGTCTTGAACTTCATTTTTTATTTTTATCTATTTTTTTTTGAATTCACTCTTCAATTTTATTTTTTATTCTTCTTTAAATTATTGCCTATTTTCTAAGAACTGTTTACTTTATTCTAATTATTCACTCAAATATTATTATTCAAACTAATCTCTGATTTTTTTACTCTAAAATTAATAATAAATATTAACTTATCTTTCATCTTGCCATTCTAATTATTTTTTTGTGTATTCTAATTTCTTTATTTATTTTTAAATCATTTCTAATTCTTATTTTAATTATTTTTCAATATTTGGATCATTACTCTAAATTTATTCAATTATTTTATTTAAATTTGGACGATCTTATATTTAAACAATATTTTTCTTCTAAATTTCTTTTTTTCTATTAACAGGGGATTTAGATTATGAAGATTTTTACTAAACACTTTTGATATTGGATATATTTTAATTATTCCTTTAACTATTTATTTATTCTTAAGGTTAAGTTTGAAAACTATTAACACTCACTTGATCTTAAAAACTCATATATTCATTCATGAAATTATTGGTTTCTTATGGTTTATTTGAGTTTTATAAAGGTGATTTAGATTTATAATACTAATTTTTAGATGTTGTTGAATAACTTGGACTTTTAGATGTTTTTTGACGATCAGGAATTCCTTTCTAATAAGAATTAAAATCTTTAAATCTACTCAAATTATAAGTTTAATCTTTATGAGTGTGTGGATTTTAATTAACTTATTCATTTTATATTTAAGTTTCTTCTTCAACATTACCTTCTGAATCATCATCTAAAAAATTATTACTTAATTTTGATAACATATAAGACTTTAATTCATTCTGATTCTTATCTTGAGGAGTCTTTAATTATTACTCATATTTTTAATTAAGTTTGATTATCTTATAGAATGAAGTATAATAGTTAATTGATAAAGTTAAAGTCTATTCAAGTTTATCTGATATTGAATTGACTTAAACTTTTAATTCTTCTTTATAATATTTTTGAGCTTCCTTAATATTTGAAATATTGATCTTCTTTTTTATCAGATTTTATTATAGATTAGACAAAATCATATTAATTGATTCATAGCTTTTACAAAAATAACTCTAACTAGTAACCCAATCACGCTATCTTAAAAATAAATAGTCAGTTGTAATTTATTTATCAACACCTGCCACAAAGCATAATAAACCACAAACACAATTATAAAGTTATTATGTTGGTTTCAGTATGTAAAATAGATCCTAAAACATCATTATGTTAATGTTACTTATATATCTTTGATTTAGATTTTTTATAGAGTTTTCAGTATATTAGTATTAATTTGTTCTGTTTCCTCAATAAGCTTTAAATATGATGGAACTTTCACTTAATCTAATTTAATCTGTAATTTTGATTATTCAACGACTCCTTTCATAATAAAAATTATATAAACATATAATTAATTATTCAATATTCTTGCATTGATTGAAAACAAATCAATAAGATATTCATTATAAATTCAAGATAATCTAATTGTAAAAAGTATATATAATTTTAAATGAAAAAAGTAATAATTTCAGTTAATATTTATTATACTATAATAATTGTATCTTTATTAGAATATCATTATAATTTTATGTTATTTTTGAAGCATTTAAAAAATATAATTTGAAAAATTAGTTTAATTATGAATTTTGATAATGATTTCATATATTAATAAAAAAAGGAACTAAATTTTTTTATTTTTAAAGATCTAATTGATATTATATTAATGTTTAAGGTGATTAGAAGTATTTTATATATGAAATTTTGGAATATAAATTGTATATATTAGAATTGTAATATTATTATTAAATTAAAAAATGAAAGGTGAAGCTACTTAACCTAAAACTTAAACATAAGGATCTGCAATAAAGAATGATAAACCCTTGAAATAAGTGAAATAATCAAGTCCACTGAAACATTAAATTGAACCAGAGGTAGTGTGGCCATTTTTTGCTCCCTAACAGGCACTGGTCAATTAAATGAGATTTTGGGATAGAAAAAATTGCAAGAATGTTTATCCAAGCAAGGAGGATTTAAGATTTTAAGCCATAATGTTGAGAGTGGGAAAAAAGAAAAAGTCAACTAAGGGTTATTTTTTCAAATTAAGTAAAGATGGAACACTAAGTTATTACAAAAAGGTTTCACATTTAAATATAAATAAGGAATCTGATAAAGTAGCAAAAGGATATTTATAAATAACAATGGATTATGTAGCTCATCTTTTAGAACAAAAAAGTAAAAAAGATTCGTTACTAATTGTTTAAATTGAAAAGTATTAAGGACTCTCTATATCAATATTTGATGGAAAAACTTAATTGACCCTTGAATTCTTTAATCATCTTAAAGATTATTGCATAGTGTCTGGAATGGATAAATTATATACTTAAATGGAACTGTTAGGTAAAGGTTCATTTGCTTCAGTAAATAATAAATGTGATTAATATAATAGGTATATAAGGTAAAGAACTTATCTAATGAATAAATGTTTGCAGCTAAAACATATTTCAAGGAAACATTTGATCAATCTTAACATAAATCTAAATTTGTGGTACCATTTGTTCATTATTAAAGCTGAGCTTATGATAAAAAACGAAATCATGGTTTTACGTAAAGTTATTCATCCTGGTATAATTCGATTATACGATG